CTCATAATGGGACCAAAGTATGATAGCCTGATACATACCACATCATACTTGTTTTTAATCTGTATGAAGCATTTTGAACACATAATTATTATTCAAGGTAGTCCAATTTAATTAGTGAACCAGGCCTTCCGAGGCCACATAACACTGGTGAGTTTATATTTACAAGGAAACAAAAAGGTGTTACTACATTTTATGAATGATGTAGAATGATACTGCTTTAGAATTCACTAAATCACTTAGACTGTTAAGTGCCACAGCACTTCCTGTAATTTTTCTGGAGGACTTTTTGCAAAATAACAAGAGATATTTCTGAAACAATTATTGGCTTTGAAAATCCATTATTTGTGTGTTATGGAAAGTTAAAGCATAAACAGTAACCATATATGGAAAGTTAAAGCATAAACAGTAACCATATAGAGAACTTGACTGTTACTGAGAATGTGATCCAATAATGGATTTTCAAAACCAATAATTGTTTCAGAAATATCTATTGTTATTTTGCAAAAAAATCCATTTACATTTGTATTTGGGCCTTTCTCCACAATGCACATAGTGGTGTCATAGCTACACAGTTCTGAGATAAATTAGAAGAGGAGATTGGATTTATACCCCACCCTTCACTACCCAAAGGTATCTCAGAGCGGCTTACATACTCCTTTCCCTCCTCCTCCCCACAACAGACACCCTGTGAGGTAGGTGGGGCTGAGAGAACTCTGACAGAAACTGCTCTTTTTCAAGAACAGCTCTTATCAGAACTATGGTTTGCGCAAGGTCATCCAGCCAGGTGCAAGTGGAGGAGTGGGGAATCAAACCCGGTTCTCCCAGATTAGAGTCCGCACACTTAACCACCACACCAAACTGGTTAAGGCTGCGGTCACACACGCTAAATAATCCACTTTCATTCCACTTTCCAACTGGATTTTGCCAGTTCACACAGTAAAAATCTAGTTGGAAAGTGGATTGAAAGTAGATTCTTCAGTGTGTGTGACCACAGCCTGGGAGGAAGTATCTTGGTTGAGGCTCCTCTGTGTGGTATCTTTACAGGTTTTCCACATATAGCCCAGTTTTGTAAATGCTCTGCCTATACGACGTGGGAGAAGAACCACCTGACCACAGTTGTGATATATTTTCATATATACATGTACAATAATATTACCTAAAGTTGGTCCAAGAATATATGGTGGAATATATGTGTTTGTTAAAGCAATGGGCTCCATTCTTAAGCGAATGATACGTTTTTGCATCAGAATTAATAGCAAAATAATTAGAAAAATAAAATTGGTACATAAAGTCTATTTGAATAATTACTTCTGGAAATAAGGTATGGATGTGTGTATATATGTGCTGCTTTGGCTAGAGGACTTTGTTTTCCTTTTTTACATAATTCTGCTAACCTCAAACCTTTTCATTTCTGTGTGGGCAAACATTTTTAAATTTCAGAGAGAAATGTAAAGTACAAAGCCTTTACTGAAATGATTCCATCTTTTCTTGTTTCGGGCAGATGAAGTAAAAGAATATTTTAGCCAGTTTGGTACTGTGAGAAAGTGTACGCTGCCATTTGTAAGTATTTTTTTAATGTACTAACAGTATTCCAAGTATGTTGTTCTGACTCAGATTCACATAGCATTTCAGCTACGGTAGAGTGTTAGATTAGGCAAAAAGCTGATTGGTAGACCAATCAATCATTGTGTAAGTTTATTTATAACAGAGGTATCTTTATGTTTAACACAAAAAATCCACCTTTGAAACTAATTAGTTCTAGCTGAAGGCATTAATATTTTGAATTGATTGAATTGATACTGTTCTGTCATTCATGCCACATTACTCTGGATTACAAATTCACCTTTTAGCTGCCTATGCAGATTACGATTGTATGAAATAATAGATTAAATTTAAGGATGGAAAAAACCCCAAAATGATCAAAGATAATACAGCCAGCTTCCATACTGAACACAAATGACTTTTTTAAATAGAAAAATATGCATCTGAAAAGCCTATGTCAGACTATTAAGTGTCGCAGTATTATTTTTGTTGCATTCAGAACTGTATTTGTGTACACAGTAGAACTCTTTACGCATTGCATTTTGCTTCCTTGTGTAGTTTATTGTTCTACTTATTTCTTCCTGCATCCAGGAGCTACTTCTTACTTGAGGATTGCTATTTGCGTAGCAGTAAATAAAAATGGATGTGTGTTCCATCACATGAAATGCACACACTTTATCCTTTAAAATATATAAAACCACCTTGGGGCTGGAAATGGTGGAGGGGGGGGAGGGAAGGTAGATAAGCATCAGCACCTTCCAGTGATCACAAGATCTAGTAGTTGTTCCTCTTATGAAGCCACTTTTTTGGGAATTTTTTTCATTTACATTCCTTCCATTGCCTGTACAGTTTTCCTTAAGAAGAGACAGTACTTTAATCCCTCCCACATACCATCTGCTCCACATGTTGGCTTGAGGTTGGAAATTGAGGGTTGTTGTCAAGTAGCACTTCTTAAGATGCCTGAAATTTCTGACCCTTAATAGTTTGATGTTTGCCTTCTTCAGTCATGATTAGACTTTTAGCCAGATTACTGTCAGGGCAGCAGGTGGCAGGCAGTCTTCCAAATACATCGAAAGGGCAAATACACCTTATTTATTTACTGCATTTATATCCCGCCCGATCCCATGATGGTTGTTGGATTGTCTGGAAGTGGAACTCAGCTGAAATTTATGTACTTATGTCTCTGTTTAGATAAAAGAAACAGGCTTCCACAAAGGGTTTTGCTGGGTTGGATTTACTACAGAGGAAAGCCTAAAGACTGCTTTGCAGAAAGAAAATCATATCCTGGAGGGAGTTAAGGTAAGAGGCTTGTGGTACCATGGTTATTTCTTTTTTGCTTTTGAAATAGCATCTATGCTAAGGAGCATGTTCAGACATACTCTCTCTCAAGATGTAGAGTTAACTAGGTCTACATGCTTGTTTATTACAACCCTTATTCATAAATTGTCTTCTCAGTCCTTTATATTAACAAGAAAGATTTAAAGGCCTAGCCTTGGCTGTCCAAGCCTGGTCTCACCACTTGGTTGCACTGCTGCAACTGCGTTTGGCGGGTGGGGGGGGGGGAGGGGGGGGGGGGGAAGGACAGTGAAGGAATAGGAGGTTTAGATATAAAATTTTGTTGTCTCATAGCTTTCACCTTGTGTGGATGACTGCTGAAGCATGTCCATAATGATCTGGCAGCTTTAAGTATGGACTAGAATTCCAATGATTAAGCTGGTTTCTGTTACAACTTACTTTATGTATTTTTCAGCTTGATGTTAAACTTCAAAGAAGCAGAGATTTTTCACGCCAACAGTCAGACAGAACTGCTGACAACAGTTAAAGGAAGGAGACTTTATTTCACTGTCATGTAAACAACCTAAAATAAACTTAGGGATCTGTATTCATCTCAAATGAATTGCTTGGTTTTTTAAGTCAAAATGAACTATACAGTCACAGCAGAGTAACAGCCAATTACAACACCCTCCCCCCTTGCCAAGTACATTAGAATAAACTATGTACACAGGGAGTACATAATCTGATGGAATAAGCAGTTTTAACTAAGTAGAACTCAATATTTATTAGGGAATATATTCTCATCCTAAAACAACAGCTTAGGGCTTCACCGGTATGCAGACAAAGGGGAATGGCATAGCTAAAGTCCAAAATGTGTAATGGAGTGGTCCAATTTTCGCTTCTCTGTTCTCTGTGGAAGGTGTCACTAGAAGATTTATGGTGCTTTGGATCCACAATATAGGGCAGTCAATTGGTAAAGACTATTCCCCTACAGCCTGCTTTAAATGCTTTAATTTTGAATCCAGTCTCATCATCCAGAAGAACAAATCCTTACTCTTTCCTTCTCTTCTTGCCTTCGTGCTCATGTTCCTTAGGACGGCTACTGTCAGAGGGCCTTTTTGAACCCCCATGCTGTTTGGCTTCCTCCAAGAATTTGTCCAGACCAAAAGGATCCTCTTCAAACTGAACTGGTCCTTCTCTACCTCTTTGTCTGCGGTCTGAGCCAGAAAATTCTTTGTCGGGAACAAACCTGTAACAGACAAGAAGCAAACAGTAGATCTTAGCAGTCTGTTGGTAAATGATTTAGGGGAAATTAACAATGATGGGGAAAGAATTAACAAGAGCAGCTATGCTGGATCAGACCAAAGCCCATCTAGTCCAGCACTGTGTTCAACAGCTATCTTAAGGAAGCCCACAACAGCATTATTCTGCCTGTGCTCCCCAGCAACTGATTTAAAGAGGCAATAGATATCCATCATAAGTAGCCAGTGACAGCCCAGTCCTCCCATGAATCTGTCCACTCCCCTTTTAAAGCCTTCCAAGTTGGCAGCTATGACTACAATATACCCTGTGTGAAGAAATACTTTCTTTTGTCTGACCTGGGTTCTTGTGTTATGGGAGAGGTTCCCTGTCCACTCTCTCCATGTCATGCATACTTTTATAAACTTCTATCATGTCTCCCTTTCCTTGCCTTTTTTCTAGTCTGAACAGCCCTAAGTGTTTTAACTGATCCTCATAGGGCAGCTGCTCTAGCCCCCTTATCATTTTGGCTGCTCTTGTCTGCACCTTTTCAGGTACAGTGACCAGAACTGTACAAAGCACAGATTTGTGTAAGGGCAATATTAGCAGCAGTTTTATTCTCTATTCTTGTTCTAATTATAGTCAACATGGAATTTGCGTTTTTTACAGCAGCCACACAATGGCTTGACATTTTCATCAAGCTATACACTACCACCCAAGGTCCCTTTCTTGGTCCGTTGCTGCCAGCTCAGATACCATCTGTGTATATGTGAAGTTCGGATTATTTGCCCCCAAATGCATCACTTTACACTTGTTCACATTGAATCTCATGAGCCATTTTAATGCCCATTCTCCTAGTCTGAAGAGATCCTTTTGAAGCTCTTCACAATCCATTTTTGAGTTACCCACCCTAAATAGTTTGGTGTCATCTGCAAACTTGGCAACCTCACTACTCACTCCTGACCCCAGGTCATTTATAAACAACTTGAAATGTTCACATGAACATATGTACCTGTTAGTAGACTTTATGCGGGCCTCCAAATCATCACCATACATGTCCTTATCTACATTTTTACTAGGTCTGTAGATATTCTGAGCCATGTCTTTACCACTTCTCCAAGGCTGATCATAGACATTGTAAATTTCATCTTCTCCTCCAGCAAAGCCACTGTCCATGCCCTGGAAAAACACCAAAGGGGTCAGCAGTACTATACTAAAAAAAAATACTTTAACCAGTTACATGCCACTGATTTGTAACCAGAATCTGAAAAGCTCCCTGATGTACATGAAGCGTCTATCATGCCACTTTCAGGTATCAGCACCAGTGTTACCTCTAAGCTGTGCGTGTGAGCAACTGTTCATTAACACAGGGTCTTGCACTACCCATTTGAAGATTGCAGCAGTTATATTCTGCTCAGGATGTGAAAGTAGAGGGAACACTGATCACCACACTGATGCTCTCTCTCTCACCCCTCCCAAAATCACGCTGCCAGGTATTGCAACAAAATGATTTCCCTACACTACATATTATGCCATCAATATTCTCCATATATAACAACTTGCTATTATCAGTTACTTTCCATATCTGAGGGCAGAGAATTAGTAAAGATGAACACAGGCCAGCCAGACTTTTACAGAAAAGTACTGGAAGGCTGAAATGACTCCCAGCTTCCTGCCCAAACCTACTGCTAATGAGGGCAGAACACTATTTTGAGCTGCCTTATACTGAATCAGACCATCGGTCCATCAAGATGAGTACTGTCTACTCTGACTGGCAGCAGCTCCCCAGGGTCTCAGAGGTCTTTCACTTCACCTACTACACCTGGTCCTTTTAACGGGAGATGGCATAGATCAAACCCAGGATCTTCTGCATGCAAAGCAGAGGCTCTTCCACTGAGCCATGGCACCTCCCTTGATTTTACAAGCTGCATTTCTACTATGAAGACCCTTAAAACAGCATATTTAAAATTTGCATGCCAAATATTCTAGATGGTATTGTTCTGGAGACATTGCTGGATCCCCACAAGGTTCTCTTGCCTGCCAGTTTCCTGGGTCTACCAAGAAGATTCCAGGAGGGTGAAGAAGAGTGAAGCTAGGCTGCAGAAACATCCTCAGAGCCCAGTTTCTCTCCTTCTCAAAATGCTTTTGATGATGAACAGCCAGCTTGTATCCCATAGTGGTGGAACTTTTCACAGATCCCCCTTCTGTTTCCATCTAATTCTGCAAACAAGCAGCTCTGATTTGCTGGCAGTTATGGGCAGGGTTCTGTTGTCAGAACACTCCACACAGTTACTTAGGTTTGAATAATGAATTGCTTGGGGAATCAGAAAGGAAAATGTGGGTGTCTCAACATTTTGGCAAGATATTCTAGGACTTAGAACATAAATTTAAGATTTCGTTATTTATGCCCAGCAGCAGGGATTATTGAAATTTTCTGCTTCATAGTAGCTCCACAAAAATAACTGAAGGAGTTGCTTACCTTGCTCTGGTTGAAGAGCCTCTGATCATACTGAACCTCATTGGATGTCCGAGGATTAGGAACACCCAAGGCAATGACTTCACTAATATCTCTGTTTTCATTCCTTTGCAACTTTGATCTAAATTAAAATATTTGAGATGGAGTACAGTAATACTAAAACCTTAATAAGAAAAACTTGCTTATACTGTTTCCCTGATTTATACCTATTCAGAATAAAGATGTCCAGAGTAGTAATTTGATGTTTCAGCAACATGTATTTTAAGAGGAGTAGCATATGATCTTATTTTTAACTCTGCAAACTGGTTTCGTTGGCAAGTACTTCTCTGAAACCAGCATATGATAAAATGTCTGAAATTACTAAATAGAAAACACTGAAACTTTTACGTTCGGCAGCATCTTAGCAATGGAATAGGCAACCAAGGTGACCCAGCATTTGCAGCTGATGGTCAAAGAACCCAGAAGCTATAAACTGGAACACTATAGCTACCTTATATCCCTGCTCCATTGTCAAGGACACACAGTATCTACGTTTTCAAGGATTTGGGAAACGCTGGCAAAATTTAGCAGTTCACATAAAATCCCACAATCTAGCAATTTAAAAAATATTTCTACTAGTCTTGTGAAATAGCTGATGTCTTTCATGGGATTAAAACTGACAGCACAATTTATACCTGAAAATGGAATTGGGTCCTATGGAATCTGCTCCACTAATAGTGGAGCCCTTTCCCAGTAGAACATGTTTTTTCCTGCTCAAAGAAGGCCCTATGGTTAGATTCTGGCAGCCAGGGGAGGGGGAATTTTAAAAATACATTTTAATTTTTTAAAAATAATCTGCTTTAAAATGAAATTTGAATGAAATTTGAATCAAAGTACTAATCACTTTAAAAAACTGACATTTGAAAACAGTTTCTTAAATTCAACTTAACAGACAGACCTATAGGGGAATATCTGACTTAATCAGGCACTATAAATAACGCAACAGGGTTTCTGTACCATATTTATTACTGTGGCAAAACTGAGTGAAACCGCATGGATGCTGCTTTCCGTTTCAAAAGAAAAACATGGAGGTTGAGTGAGCCACTGAAAAAGCCGAGATGGGTGCCCAAGAGCTATAATAGAGATGTTCTGTCCAGCACTTATCAGCCCTTGCTTCTTGGCACTTAGGCTATGCTTCCTCTGGCCCAGTGGAAGCCGACATTCCTTTTTCTAAAAGCCAGCCCTCTGGTGGTTGTGGAAAGTGCCATCACGTTGCAGCAACTTACAACAACTCTGTAGTGTTTTCAAGACAATAGCTAGAACAGAGGTGGTTTGCTATTGCCAGCCTCTGTGTAGCGACTCTGGACTTCTTTGGAGGTCTCTCATCCAAGTACTAACCAGGGCTGACCTTGCTTAGTTTCTGAGATCCGACAAGACTGGCCTAGCCAGCCCTGTACTCCCATTTTATCAACAAAATGCTTTTAAAACTCTCAAATTCAAATGCAATTTGAAATGGCATCTTTTAAGTTTATGGAACAAATTCTGTTATTCTTTGGATCCTGGCCTTATATTTCAAGTAAGTGAGCCTGCCTTTTAGTTGATTTCACAATTGCCCCATTGCCTCCAAGCAGATAAATAGTTTCTTTATTCAAAAGAGTTGGGTTGCATGGTAAGAAGTTGTGCATGTTGTTTCAGGGAGTATAAAGCTCTATTGTGTAGTGATTGTACTCGCAATCAGCTAGAAAGCATGCTTGCTCTGAAAAATGTATGAATTACAAATGGGAAACGTGATTGAAATCAATCATTTAAATGAGAATTTTTTTCTTTTCAATTGCTTGAGACTCTGCATGGAAAGAGAGAAAAGAATATGTTCCTCAGAGTTTGGAGACAGCTAGGTTGTCTGGCTGCCATCACGGGTAGAGAATGAGTGAGCCTGGGGAAAAGTTTACAGCGGTGCTGCAACAAGGGAGGAGGAGCAGTTGTGTCCAAATGATAGCCCTCCATGTAGAATCATAGAATGTTAGCGTTCGAAGGGACCTTGCAGGTCATCTAGTCCAACCCACTGCACTCTGCAGGAGCATAGCCAAAAGATAGCCCTACAACATACCCGGAAGATGGTAATCCAGCCTCCGCTTGAAAATGTCCAGCGAAGGAGCATCCACCACCTCCCGAGGCAGTCTGTTCCACTGCTCAACCACTCTTACAGTTAAGAAGTTTCTCCTGATATTTAGCCGGTAACAACTCCCTAGTAATTTCCACCCATTAGATCTAGTCTTGCAATCCGGAGCAAGAGAGAATAGGGCTTGCAATCAACAGCACTCCACAGCACCTCACTCAGTGTCCAACAACCCTCAAATCACAAACAGCCCTAAGCAGACCCACTTGCAATAAGGGTGCATTTACATATGGAGATATGCAGTATACTGTTCAACATTCCCACTCCATCCAGTCAAGGTTCAAGTGTACAATCATGCTATGTAGGCAACAGCAATGATTTTAGTATGCCATTGTGCCCAACAGCTGCAGTGTGGAAATGGAGTATTCCCTAACTCTCTCCTTCAAAATGACACCACACCTTCCTGGAAGAGGTGATGTTTTACACAGCCTTACCACCTTGGCTAAAGTCTTTTCCTCCAAAGGCCACTACAGGAGCTGATATTTTCCAAGGCTCACTTCTACCATTCTCTTGACACAGTAGTATGCCACAACATATTTTTGAGGAAGTCGCTGGGTTACAGGAATATACTTTTGGGGCACACTAATGGAGTGCTTAAAGTCAGTAACAATTAGCTCTGTATATATATTACTTCAGAATACCCTAACCTTCCCTTGTCTACAGAACTTCCAGTTGAACAACTTCTTTTCCCCATCTTACCTCTTGTCAGGGGCTGCTCTGGAAAGATTCCGGTCATGTTGTCTATCTTTCCGCCTGTCATGTCTGATTTCATCACGTTCTCTAGCTTCTCCATCCTCTGTACAGGTACATTTAAGATTCAAAATTATGTACAATATACACTAAATGGGTTATTTAGTAATCAGTATCAGGCAATAACTGGACTCAGTACTCAGAAGACAAATACCAGTTCCGGTGTCTCCAGTGGCTTTTCCTGGCCTAGTAACTTTATATATATGAAAATGTTGCTTAAGGCCACAATCCTAGACACCCTTAGGAATAAGCACCACTGAAATGTGGAACTTACTTCCAAATAAACTCACACTCACTCTTTGTATGAGGAGCAAGTAACTTGCAAAAACATAAGGGGGGGGGGGGAGAAAGACACACACACACACACACTAAAGCAGCCCACAGTAACTGCAGGTTATGGCAGAGTTCCCCAAAAGAAAATTAAACTTTTAAAACTCAGTTTTTGTAAACATCTCTAGAATATTTATGAAGACAGAAAAGGACCATAAAAGGGCAATTACCTTTCTCCACGTGGGTTTTGATTCCAGCTCTTCGCTCCCTGGCTTTCTGGGCCATTTCACGGAGTTTCTCTTCGTGTTTTTCTTTTTCTTTCTGGGCCATCTTCCTTTCCACCTGGGCTCTCATCTCTACAGCTTCACGAGCCTGCACAAGATTAAAAACAAAGCAAAACCATAAGGACCTGCAGAAGTAGTTGTGGAGCCTCCCGCCAAAAGTTGTAATGTTAAAACCATGCACACAACTCAAAGATCCCAAACAGCCAGACGACTTTTGGTGTAGAGTCCATGCCACCCTACTATCAGAGTTTTCTATTCCCCAAAGCGATTGACTAAAAGTTACAGGCTGTTGCTGTTATTTCACCTACAGAAAGAAATTATCTAGAAAGTCCCACACTGAAGAACAAACATCTGACCTTTCTGTCAGCAATGTAGAGAGCCTCAGCCAACTTGGCAAAGTTTTCATTAATGTGAACCGTCTGCAGTCCTCTGCCATCCGCAGCCAGACGTTTGTCTAATGGAATGGTGTAACCCTGGAGTGAAAAAACAGATAAGGCACTTAGTCACCAGAATGGGACACGGTGTGCTAGGAAAGCTGCCCCAAACCCTTACTCATCACTACCATGCTCCTGTGAACCTGCTCTTCTGCAAAGGAAGGCTAAGGGAGTCTTTTCAGAGAAAAGATGGCTATAAATGACAGAGGTTTATAAAATTATGGATGAGGTGGAGAAAGTGAATAGAGAACTTCTCCCTCTCCCCATAACAAACGAATGCAAGACTAATAAAATCGATGAGTAAAGACAGTAAAGACAAAAAGTACATCTTCATTCAACCAGTAATTAACTGGATCATAATGGGCTATATTGGTCTAATTACTTTTTCCCTTTATTTTTAATTTTACAAAATTTATATTCTGCCTTTCTGCCTTCACAAGGGCCATCAAGGTGGCTAACAAATTAAAATATACACAGTAAAATCACATTTTAAAACCATACACAGTAAAATCGCATTTTAAAACCATTAACCACCCCCACCACTATTAAAGCTAGAGCTAAAATACATACAATACAAAAACTATTAAAAACCCACAGCAGCTTGCATCTTTCTTCTCTCTTCCATGTTATCTTCACAGCATTCAGGACAGCTGCTCTTCTCATCGATAGTGGGATAGATTCAGTGGCATACTGGAGCAGGATTTCCCCCTCCTATAGCAGCCCAAAGCAGTCCCCAAAGTCTTTCTCCTGCCGCCCCCCCCCCCCAAAACAGGACTGGAGCAGCCATTTGAGGCTGCCGGGGGGGGGGGGGGGGAGACACAGCAGAAGTTGCACTTTGGGCAGAAGTCCTTCCACCTATGTGCCAACTGGATCCACTACAACATATGCCTGACCCTGGTTTAAGCCAGTATTAACAGTGATGCAACAGTTTTTTTGCTTAGTGTTCTGGAGTACTAGATCAAATAGGTTTCATGCTTCACTATGGAAATATTATAGCAGTTTCAAAGTAGTTTGAACCACATTTCATCCCTGAAAAGCTGCAATCTACCGTTTGGCATATTCATTCTCCTGTCATACTGGCAGCCCTAATACACAGAGAACAGAACAGTTAAGCTATGTTATTGCAATCCCGTTTCTGAAAGCATCTGGTTTACTCAGCTCTAGAGATTTTGAAGTAACATATTCAAATTGCATTTTTGAGGAAACTCCCAGCAGGATGTAACATTTGAGATGACATTCTGACAAGTTAATTACCTTTGCATTTTTCCAGTTTGAAATACAGGGAGGAATCTTCCATTCTTGTTGCTCCTTCACGGTCATCTGAACAAAGGAAAGATAGACTTGAGATTTTTACCAATTGCAGAGAGGGATCCCCCCCCTTAAACACAGTGGCAGGATTATCGTGAAAGGTCAAATATAGCAAGCATCAATGAAACACACAGCAAAACTGTTCTTGTGGCAACTGTCATCCGCATGCTGGTTCTAGCTCCTGTAAAGCTTAGAACTAGAAAAGGAATTATCCAGAGCAGTTGTGAATAAATGCTGAATTTGTAAACCATGGATATCATGCTCTTCTCAGAAACTACTAGGTGAGGAATCAGAAACTTTTCCAGGCAAACTCCTGGCCTTCATTTGGGAGCCCCACAATTAAATTCAATTAAACCACTAGAGCATTCCAGCAAGCTACTTCAGAAAGCAGGAGCCCCAAGGACATACTATGCTTCAATAAACCACACCATACTCCCCAAAGCCTTTAACAGGAACAAACAAGGCACCTATTGGGAAACAGTTCTTGATTACTCAAGCAAGCAAGTCAAGCAACAAATTACAGGGAGGAATAAAACCCCCCTCTGCAATGTCATCAGCCAGTTTGAGCTAGAGAAAAACTGGCAACAAACAGGGGTGCATTTGGCTATAGCCAAACCGAAAAAATACCAGAAAAAAATACCTTGTCGGTATTGGGGCCCCCCCCGCACATTTAAATGTCTTTCTTTCCCTTCCCCAGATCGGGGAGGGAAAGAAAGGCATTTTAAACACACCTGAGTTCCCTGCCTGATCTTCTCCAGGTGCCCTGCAGCTGCAGGGGACCTGGGGTAGATCACGCAGGGAACCCAGGCATGTTTGCATGCCTGCCCTCTGCTTCCCCAGCCTGGCCGCTGCGGCGGGCAGGCTGAGGGGGAAGGGCAGGCATGCAGACATGCCCCCTTCCTTCCCTGAGCCTCTCCTCTGCTTTTGCAGAGAAACTCGGGGAAGGGGGGTGGGGCATGTTAAAATGCAACATTTTAAACACGCCTGGGTTCCCTGCCTGCCCTTCTCCGGCTAGGACATGTAAGCTAGAGAAGGGAAGGCAGAGAACCCAGGCTTTCCCTTGTCAATTTCACTCACAGCTGATTGGCTGGGAGTGAAATTGACACAGAAATCTGTCCAGGCTACCAGAGGGAAATTTGCCATTTCAACATGCCTCCTTTCCCTCTGGTGGTATAAATCAGACCTGAATATATTCAGCAATATCGAATATTTCTCCAATCTGAATACTTCACTGGTATTGGACAGGGGAAATTCGGCATTTACTGATATTTTTGGGGTCTGATTTACCCAAAGCCGAAAAATACCGGGTTTTTTGCACACTCCTAACTACCAATATAATGATAATGATTTGGATGCAACAAGGTCTTTCTGCAGACAGATTTCTATTTGTGAAGTGTGACTTTTTTTACTCCTTTCTCCCTCTGCAGCCCAAAATGCACAAGGGCATTTTGGGGTGTAGCAGGAAGCAAAAATGATGTGCTTCATGGGCAGAATTTCTTCTATCTATGGAAATGCATTACTGGATCCCACCCATCAGCTATATTCTGAGCACAAAACAAGATCTAACAAAGCCTCCACAAAAGAAATGTTTCACTGGGGGTCCAAGTCCACCCCTTCTACAGCTTGTCTGAAGCTGTGACACCTATGCTTTCTTAGAGATAGGGGAAGATGTCCCTCAACACAACGTCCCTGTCCTGAAACAATACACCCAATGTTATTACACCACCCGTGTAGGGTAGTTACCAGGTCTCAGAAAACAAACAAAAACTATGGGACATTAGTAAAGCTTCTACCTTTCTGCTGGGAGAGTGCATTACAGGTGCTGGAGGAGATGGCGGCCCACGAGGGATTTTCTTGTTAATCCTAATGCGCAAAAACAAATCAATGTTTAAAATGCGTTTCCACAACCTTCTATGATGAAAGTAGTATAAACGTCAGGTACTCACTTGAATCTTGGTGGTTCCATGGGATCCTTCTGCATTTCCACCATTCTAATAACTCTCTGCTTTGCACCAGAATTGAAGGCCACACCCTGTTGTGATGGCGTGTACCTGATGAAAATAACCAAGAGGACCAGCTGTCAGCACAGAAACCTACACGTAGGGAATCTCTCTTTTCCTCTTAACTATTTGGCCTACTAAGACAGCTCATAATGCCAAACATACAACTCAAAAGGATGCAAAAATTAATATGCATAAGTCACTGACGAGAGACTGTTTTAACTGTGCACAATTTGAATGTGTTTCAGTCACAGAACAGAAACTGATGTTCCAGTTTCTTCCAGGCAGGACAGTAGAAGTCTTTCCAGCTGGATGCCCTACATTTCAGCCTTGGAAGTCACAGACATTATACCAGTCACTATTCATGGATCAGAAAGACCCACCATATGTTGGCAGAAAGTTCATAACTAGAAAAAGGCCAAGAAGAAAACACACATAGCCACAGAGTTTTCTCCACACAGCCAAGTACATCATGTTCTCTGTAACAGGAATAATATCATTTCATTAAACAGCAATAGCTTCTTAACAGTGGCATAGCTGATAATCATTATGTATTAAAATGTGTACACAAAAGGCTTTGAACAGTCCCCAAAGAATCCCATACCGGATGTACTGAGCTGGAGCTAGTTTATCAGCTGCTCGGACTGGCATGGCTGCTGCAATTTTCTGGGAGACAGATTTTTCCAAGGCTGATCGAGTCTTTTCTGTGAGCTGCAATCAGAAATGTTACATTAAACGCTTGAACAAGACACAAGTGGCTCCAATAGTTATGTGCCTCACTAGCCACAGTACCTCTCGGACGGCTTCCTCATCAGGCCTTTGCAGCTCAGGGTCATCAACGTTCATAACTTCCTTTGGAACAAGGTCTGTGTATTTGCTGTAAATGACCTGAAACATGGAACACAGCATCGTGAAGGACTAATATTATAAATCAAACACACACAGAGTGCCTCACTGAGTTGCCTGAAAAATCAAAAACAAACTAGACTAATTTTCTAACAGGAAACAGGTTCTGCAAGAGCCAAATGCTAAGTGTATCTGAGACAAACCTGAAAAAAAAATATTTAAAATTCTTAAGCACTGGCTATGCATACAACTAGGAAAAAAGTGTTTTCAAAGAATTAGAATCTAGTTTCAGAGAACCAATTACCTGGGATTTTTTTCATCCAGTTTGGAACATAAGGGTATGTTTTATTTTACTAAAGAAAACGATGAAGAGTATTCAAGCAATCTGCTACAGTTGAGCCAAGCCACCACTGGAGATGGCTTCCATGCTCCTGATCAGACCAGTGTTGCTCTTTGGATTAATCGGAAATTCCAAATTTATTAGACTGCCATACTTCTGTATATTTTTCTCTAGTGACAGCACATAAACATTACCATTTCAAGTTTTAGGGGATACAGAACTGAATGTCAGTTAACAAACTCTACACTTCTAGAAGAGCTTACTGTCTAAGAGTAGTCATTTTAAGAGGTCCTTTTCAAAGGTCTCTCCCCACTGAGATTCAAGAACCACTGGTCCATTCAGCAGCCTATCTGGGACTATAAAGCCTACATGTGTAACCCTATAGCTTAAGAGGACACAAACAAAGTGAGATATTTAACTACAAATTATATTAACCTTGGAAGTTTGAGAAAAATAAAGATGATGGTTAAGGCCATAGTGAGATGTCTGTGTGCTGTGCTCACCCTCTCCCTCCCTCCCCTTGCACCAACTGAGACTCTCCTTGTTTTGAGAAATTCTTCAATCAGACAATTTTCTATGATGTCTGAACGCAGGTATCTGGGCACATTAGTGTCCCCCACACCAGAATTCTAAACTGGGATTAAATTATGGGGAGGAAACCAGTTTGTCCAGGCATCTGCATAGTATAGATAAGGCAAGTTATATTGCTGAACCTTAGTTCAGAATCTTTTAAGCAGGATCCTTCTGTAGAAATCTAAGGAAAAAATAATTAAGTCTTACAGTTTGTACCACACCCATATAAAATCAGTAAGATAAAAACAGCCAAGACAAAAGCTTTGAGATATCAAGTAAGTGTGTGAATACAGTACTTTGAGAGAAGGTACTCAATCAAATAAAAATAATACTATTTAACCTGACAGCATTTGCATCTTACTGGGACAATTTGTTAGTGCATCCTATTCTGTTCCCCATGTATTTCTCTTTGGAGACATCCTCTGCTGAGATACTCGCTTACTCTGCCGCTAGCACTTCCACATGTGTCAGGGCTCTCTGACAAGCACTGCTCTTGTGCACACACTTTTTTTGGACCACTCTGCAGTGCAGATATGTACTAGAACACAGATGTTTATTTAAAGGAGTTTTATAATGGTCTTCAATAGAAATCATTCAGAAAGCTGTTTACAAAAGTTAAAACAAAGCAAAGCAACTAAGGTAGAAACATTATTCAAGGATTTTGATATTGCCCAGCAGGTATTGCTCTGAACAGCAACCCTCCATTCTGATAGTATCTGCATAACTATAAAGCAAAAGACGTGTAGCTGAAATAATAATGTAGCACAAGAATCATATACCGATTCTCATCCAGGTATTCCAAAATTAACAGTCCTTTAAATGAATATCAATAATACCAGATCTCACAAAGACAAGTGAAGGACACCTGAAGAGCAATATTCTGTCAGATAATTAACTATAAAATCCCCTCAGAACTTCAATGCATGAACAACCAAGTTCACCTGCAGTTCAAAACATCGCAGGTAGTAAGAGGAGAAAATGAGTTCTCAAAATTAAAATGAGGTGCTCTGAACAAGAGAGCTAGGATTCGTTATCCACTATTTATTAGAGAAGCTGCAGTAAACAGGGTGCAATGTAGTAACCTTCTTGGGTAATAACAGGCTTGCAATTAGCCACTTGCCAAATCACCTGGGGAGAGTAACCACTGCCTCAAGGCAACCAGGCAAGTCTCATGTGCTGCACAGAGAGAAGCTTTATGGCTCTTTCAGTAATTCCCTCTATTATAGGGCTACAACATGGAGATTGTGCTCCAAGTCCCATGGCTGCAAGGGGAGAAACAATCCATACCACTGGGGCAGGAGGATGACTCATCTCTCTGAAGAATGACTTGCAGCCATGGTTGATGACCTCTCTCCACCTTATATGCATCAATTACAGTTTCTCACTCCCACTTGCATGCTCACAACACACACCTTAGATCAGAATCCCCACTCCCTTGAAGCTGCCTTGAGAGTCACCACCTTAGATCAGAATCCCCACTCCCTTGTTAAATATGTATTTGAAGCTGCCTTGAGAGTCGCCACTCAGATGGGGTGAACAGCAATTGTCCCAGGTAAGTATCTGGGGTTCAAGATATGTAGTACTAAGGGAGAACCATGCATAGCACTCTTTACTTTTTCTATCCTCACAGGGCTATTATTCCTTAAGCGAAGAAACCAAACTGTGTAGAATTAGAAGGAACACTGGATTACCCACTTTCCTATCTGGCTGGACATGCCATTCTCTTTACACGGTGTTCTGGAACACTATTAGACTTTTATGAGCCCATTCACCAAGATATTTGGGAGGGGCCGTGCCTCAGTGCAAGAGCCTCTGCTCGGCATGCAGACGGTTGCAGATTCAATCCCTGGCATTTCCAGTTAAAGAACCAGGCAGAAAGTGATGTGAAAGACTTCTGCCTGAGACCCTGGAGAACCACTGCCAGTCTGAATGGACAATACTGACCTTGATGGACCAATGGTCTGATTCAGTATAAGGCAGCTTCATGTGTATTCATGTGTTAATTAATGTCTGTTCCAGGTACAACCATTTGCTGAAGCTAAACTGTCCTCAATAAAGAGCAGGGCTTTTTCTGTAGCAACCCCTGCTCTTTGAAACTCCCCTGCATTAGAAATTTGGCAGGCACAAACTATCTTCTATTCAGAAGAGAATTGAGTTATTTTTCACAGTGCCTTTAACCGTTTATTTGATAATGGTTTGCTCATTTTTATAGTTTTGCTGCTATTTGGCTAGGTTTGTTCTTATTTGGTTTTGGATTTTTTTTTACACTTGAATTAAGTGTGGGATGTTCCAGTTTGCTTTTTGCTGTAAATTGCCTTGTGCACAGATTAACATGGTGACAGGATAGCAATCTCCACTACTGCTGTATTTGGCTTTCTGGATAGTGGCAGTAGAGGATCTATTCCTGTGACTAAGTTTAGATACTGATTTCTGCCTTCCTTGACCCTGAGAAATGGCATCAATGGCAGACAGAATAAGTAGGCAACAAGAATGGAAAGGTAGGCAGTAATTACCTGTAAGAATACAACTTCACCATTTGAGGAATATATCCCAAAGCATGATGCAGCAGAATGAGATGGTAGCATTCTAAGGTGTTAAAACTGGCTGTGCTACTTTAAACTACAGGTGAAGTGATCACTCACCTCTGCAGCATGAAGGAGTACAGCTCACTCCATTACGTCAGAATCCTACCAAAGACAGTAACTGTTAGTATCACAACACACAGTCAGACAGTAACAACTACAGCTGGAATCCAAAGTGCTGTTTTAGGTATGCCTAGTGGGATCTCTGCCTTTGGATCTGAACAGCAGCCTCCACTGCCATACTATATAATGAGCTGCTTTTGAAGGTCTCCTCAAGGAAATACAAGCTCAGAATCTCTTAAGACCTACATCAGTTGTGCAAAGTTATCTGGATGCCACTTTGATAGCTGTGGTCCTAAGCAATGTCATACATTTTTGTATTCCTAGTATTTCAATTCAAATGTGTATATTCCAATTCCAGTTGTTCACTGGATATTTTATACTATCTGATTACATTGTTGCTCACGTTGTCATTCAAGTTTTTATCCTCGGTCCTACTGCATTGTTCGTTGGATGTCCTATACTGTTTGGTTACAGAGTACAGGAGGAGAAAAAAAATCTACCTTGAGTTTCAGTCAGAGAGGCAGGCTATAAATAAGCTAAATAAACCCATTAACCCTATTTGCCATCACTAGGGTTTATTTTTTGGGTGTAAATATTTTATATGCAGTTATTCAAAATGCTCAAGCAGTTACAATATGCAGAAATTCCAGGGTTTATGTTTCAAAAACATTTAACAAAGGGTTACTTAAACAGTCACTGAGGTAAATGAGACTGTACCCAATATTTCGTTTTATGAAAACAGCCTTGAGCATTCTTGAAAAAATGTGAACTATAAATGCCTTAAAATAAATAAAATCTAGTTTAAGGTATGTCTAAAAAATAATCAGTGTTTGAAGCAACGGATTAATTTAAATTTTCCTTAAAAAATTGAAAATTGAATTATGCTTAGGAAGACCATATGGCATGTATTGTACGACTACAAGATTTCTAGACCCTGGCACAGATCCAGAGAAGCATGTGCAAAACACTTCCATGTACACATGAAGGACATGCGATTACATCATCTGGTACAAGCCTTAAACCAGATGGGTGCTGTTCCAGTGTAAGCTCAACCTCTGGGACATCTTTTCAGGGTGGTCATGTTGGAGGAAGCTGCCCCGAAAAGTCCTGGTAAGCAAGCTACAGCAACCACATGTACCTGTGGATCTAAACCACCACAAGGATTACAGAAATGATGATTTCTAACTCATTTATAAACTTTAATATACACTTCACAAGGATTATTGTATGGTTTTCCTAAGCACTAGTAGTACTACTTTGATAATGCCAACTATTTACTTTCCATTCTACTACATTTCTAAAAACTTTAAGCATAAGAAAATACCAGCTCTCTCTGAAGCCTCGGCTGTTTAGAACATAAAATACAGGATTGTATCGTTCAAAAGCAATGGTTGTAATTAAGACAAGAAGGGATGATAAAAATACACACATTTTAAGATGGTAACTGTTGAGACATTTAAAAAAACACAAAACAAGAGTGAAATTCTGCTGTATGGTTTTCAGCCTCATTTACTCATTGCATTCTCTTTGGAAACAATCACATGTTTTGTAGAGCTCCTACAATACTGTTTAACTAGGTTTGTAATACTTCTACTGATCGTTTATACAGCATTTCTAGTGTGCAAAGTTTCTAACCGTCTGTAGGCTCTTGCTGAAAACTATGTAAATTTCACAGTACTGATGTGGCATGATTTTAGCAGAGTAATCCAGCAGTTGCATCTTTCTAAGCCGGGGGTGGCCAAACTGTGGCTCTTTCACACATATTGTGCGGCTTCCAGCAGGGCAGCTGGGGAAGCAAAGGGGAGGTATACTTTTCCTTCCTTCCATCTGCTTTCTTTGTTTCTCTTTCTTTCTACCTCTCTCTCTATTTCTCTCTTAGACAAAGAAATATCATTAGCAAACAAATAAACATCACTGGACAAATAAATATAATCAATATCTGTTTTTACCCCTTTTGTTTTTATTTTTGGCAGTCTCATTTAACGTTAATAAAAAGCAAATTTGTGTATTTTTCAATAAAACCCTCTGTGTGATATTTGTTCATGTCTTGCAGTTCTCAAACATCTGATGTTTATTCTATGTGGCTCTTATGTTGAGCAAGTTTGGCCACCCCTGTTCCAAGCCAATGGACTTTAGAGGGCTATAGAAGGGTGTAACTCTGCTTGGGATTGCACTACAGGTCTCCCAGAATGAAGTCCAACATAGATCCCAGGCCTGCAAAATATGAACCACCAAATTAAATGTAGCAAACCAACCATTTATATTAACCTTTCAGATGCTTGAAAAACCCCTGGTTTTACAGTACCAAAGCAGCAGATCTATCAGACCAGCTTCTCGTGTTTTTCCATAGAAAGCTATGGCTGAAATTTAATTGATGGGTTATGAACCGGGCAAGCCTGCTCTGCTCTGTCCATTGGACTCCATTAGTCCCTGTAATAAATGCTATTTCTAAAACCACTTTTTCTCCCCAAACCATTTTCTCATTGAATAACTAGCTAAGTTTCTGCTACAAGCTTTGGCTGATGCAGTTTATTTACTTTATTCCATTTATATTCCACCCTACCCTGAAAGCAGGCTCATGTTAATGCTTTTGCCCATATCAAGCAATCACTATAAAATATTCTTTGTTAATAAATGAGCAATCCTGCTAGACCAGACTAAAAGTAGATCTAGTCCAACATCTTATTTCCCACAATGGCCAATCAGATGGCTCCAGGAAGGCCACAAATAAGGGGATAAATGTGAATTTTTCACAGATGTTTTTCTAGTCCCATTGCTGTAGTTGTTTTGGATAATGCCACCAGTACACTACAATATTTTTCTACAAAGTTACTGGAATGAGCAGATGATACAAGTCCCAAAAGTCAGGGTTTCAGCTTTCAAAACAAACGTATTAGTCAACAGTAGTATGTGCTTACTTCCAGCATTCGTGGTATCCATCCTTTTCGATAACCGTAAGGGGGAGGCTCCCTTCGTGACGATACCAATGCAGTCTGTCTCACCCTTTGGGATCTTGACCTTTCTTCCAATTCTAACTGGTCCTGAGATAGCTGAGTTGGTGCTGGCAAAAAACTGAAGACACACACAAGAGAAAATTAACATTTGCACAGCAATTTACACAACATTAAAGAAGGCAGTATGCAATATTCCCATTCCAAATTTCACAAAGCAACTGCAGTCCTGCCATTAATAAACACTATCAGAAGTGACCCGGAATGTTGCTGTAGTGCTGATATTTCCAGAAAAGAGGCGATTACAACTAGATAGAAGATACTGATCTTCATTATATTTCAGAATCTGTGTTGGACTTCGACTGCCTTCGAGGAACCCAGCCTAAAGAGATCCTTTCTCTAAACACGGGGTCTCATTCTTTATGCCATACAGGAAACAGATCCTATTGTGACTTGAGAACATGACACCTTTCTTGTGCCACAGAATTTGCAACAAGTAAGGTCAGGTATAATCACAAATAACACCCATTGATGCCCATCAAAAATTGTGGACTTCCAGGTGGCAACTCTCAAACTTCAATTTAGTTACCAAGAAGAAGAGTTGGCTTCACTACCTGAAGGAGCACCTTTCCTTCCTCTCCCCACAACAGACACCCTGTGAGATAGCTGGGGCTGAAAGAGCTCTGAGACAACTGTGACCTACCCAAGGTCACCTGACTGGCTTCATATGGAAGAGTGGGGAATCAAACCCAGTTCTCCAGATTAGAGACCACTGCTCTTAACCACTACACCAAGCTGGCTCACTGAACCAACAACACTTTAGACAACCATCGCCAAGGCATGAAAAGACAAAGCATTCCTCAGGTCAGGCATACTGATAAATATGAAGGAACGGGGAAAATTCAACCCACAGTTATAAAAAATACCCCAAGGGTTTGCTTCATACATTATGTTTCTCCTCTGTAAAGCCCACATAGAGAGGTGGGAGGGGCCATTGAGCCACAGCCAATTTACGGGGACCTCACAGGGTTTTCAAGGCAAGAGGCAGTTTGCCATTGCCTGCCTCTCCATAGCAACCCTGGTACTCCTGGGTGGCCTCCCATCCAAATACTGACCAAGGCAACTCACTCAGCTTCCAAGATCAGACTAGCTTGAGCTATCCAGGGCACAGCAGAGCGCATAGGACATATATATCTAAGTGTTTCCAGCTGAGTACGTGAAATACATACATCTTTAGACATACTAGCCTAAGCACCACACAAAGATGTATGCACGGGTTCCCCACTCTGCTTGCGTGAACCGACTCCCCCGAAAAAGCACTTTGTCTGAGGCAAAGTGGGTTGAAAAGAAAATTCTCTCTCCGATAGCACGTGAGAATCCATGCATTGCAGCACTGCAATCACCAAGTATATGAACAAGCCTTTTGTTACGTGCAACTGTATCCCTTTTGCAACACATGTGTTCTATAAACATCTACGCAGGGGCCTAACCCTCTGTTCACAGGTGCCGCCAGACAGATCAAACTTCGGCCACCTCTAGAACATAATACTCTCCGTCTATCTACAGTCGGCAGCCGGACTGCCATTTCTCCACCGAAGCCAGATTAAAAACAGCCCCTAACCAACACCTAAAGTTTCCGCTGGTACGGGGCGGAAGGGAAAAGAAACAGGGCTGACTTCTCGGGAAAATGCCCGGATCAACCTAGGCCTCCGTGGCGCCATTTCTCTGCCACCGAAACTGCCTCTGAAGTGACTACGACAAATAAACGCACAGAGCATGGATTTAAAAAGGGGCGAACCCTACGAAAGAGGCGACAACCTGCCTCCATTCCCTAGTGAATTCCCACGCCAGGCCCCGACACCGACCTGGTCAGCGCCATTTCTTCTTCCTCTCCACAGGGCTCCGCGACAGTGAATCCGCGTCTGAACTGCGCAAGTTTAGCAGCTCAAGGGGTTATGGGAGTTGTAGTCTCTGCTCCTCCCAGGTTTTTACGCCAGGTGCAAGCGCTCTAGAAGGGTGGACTCAGAAGAGTAAATGAGACATTCAGGAACAGATGTGCGGGTATTAAGGCATTTAAACGATTGCTGTTTTGCTAGATACTACCGTCTCTCCCCCACACCGGGGGCGGCGGAGGGAAAGGAGACATAGCAGTTTTGCAGCGCTATGATTTCTTTCACGTGGCAGGCAGTCGCATCTCAAGGACTCAGAAATGAACTAAATTGACACATGTGATTTGACTCGGAGGCGGGGACGTGGTTCAATAGTAGAGCATCTGCTTGGCATGCAGAAGGTCCCAGGCTAAATCCCCAGGATCCCCAGCTGGAATGACCCAGTGGTAGGTGGAGTGAAAGATCTCTGCCTGAAAGCACGGAGAGATGCGGCCAACAGGCCTCGGTTCCTGCCGAAGCCCACGGAGCACTGCTCCCAGTCAGAAGCCCAGGGGGCGGGCACATAAGCCCCGCCCCCTGCTCCCACCAGCCATCAGTTGGGACATGGGGGGAGCTAAACGTTCCCCACCTCCCTGAGCCCCGGGGTGGTGGCCTTGGACTCCACCTCTCACTAGAGGTCATTCTGGCTCCCCCAGCTCTCCTTCCCGGCTACTTAAAAAGTTATGGCAGCAGGATGCCGGCGTGCGGGGGGCGGGGTGAAACGTTCCCTTGCCTCCCTGAGCCCCCGGGGTGGTGGCCTTGGACTCATAGGGGCAAATTCCACCTCTCGTGTGTGA